CTTCTGCCTGAATTCACCTCCCTCAGTTCATATTTCATTCTGCTTGCTCATTGTCTTCTTTCTGAATTCTACCTTGATTATTATTGATTTTGGGGACAAGCTGTCCTCTTGGTTTTGCCTGCAGTGCCAGTAATTCCATTATCAATCTGTAACAAACTGCAGACAATGAACAGCTGTCAGGCTGAAATGCAGCGTCTGAGTTACAGTAGGTCACCAGCTCTTGGTGAGTGTCTCAAGAATGGAGGAAGTACAAAGGGGAATGAGACCCAGTATTGAGTGCCTGAACCACAGAGTAGTGAGTAAATACCACTGTTCAAATGTCCTGAAAGTGAGTGGTACCTCTTGCATTTCTGAGTTCTGGGCTGGAATCAGATAATGTGAAAACTTAGCTGGGGATTATGAATAGAACTGCGCACGATATCTGAAGAGGAGGTAGATAATATTTACAAGGCTTACAACAGCCTGGTCACCTAGAAAACTGATGTAAAAAAGCAAGTTTTACCTTATACAACCCCCATTATGCCAAACAAGGAATCCTACTTAGAACCAGATCCTGCTCCCTTTGAAGTAAGTGGAAAACTTTCCATTTGCTTCGTTGTGGAGGATCAGGCCCACAGGGAGTCTAGTTTGTCTCTGTAAACAGGATAAAGAAGCAGAAGAAACATCCGAGGTCACTTGTAAGAATTTCCTGGCACTGTAGGTACCAATAATTAAGAAGTAAAAAGAAAAAACCCTAATGCTTTATACAAAAACATTTTCATCCACATTCGATTTCCTCTTTCCAAACTTACTTCCCATGAGCTAGAAAGAGAATTGTGAAATGTTTGGCAAACAAAAAGGACTTTGGTCTAAATTCTGTGTTCTGTCCATATGCACTTTCTTCTTTGTAAACTTTGTTCTGGAAGCACCTCTGGACTCACCTAAAATGGGCCACCAAAGCAGATCCTAAACCTGGCAGCTCTGTAGAGACACACATAGCTTTGTACATCCTGCAGTGTCAATACCTTGGACAGGATTGTGTTCTGCTGCATCCAACCATAGAACAAGACTAGATGCATTCAGCTGGCTGGGTCCTGGCAGTTGTTTCACTTGTAATAGCATGTTAACAACCCCCAGTAACAAAAATTAAAAAAAAAAAAACAAAAAAAAAACCCAAAAACCAAAAAACCAACCGGGAAACAACTTGTAAGGGTTTGAAAAATGCAGGCTGTGATATTCAGGAAGGAGAATTTTGCCATTAGCTACCATACAAAGCTATTGAAGCTGGGTGAGGAATGACATCTCTGTGTGTCCTTTTATTTTTCCAGTCTGAGGAAAGCTAAACAGAAACCAAGAAAACATTACTGTCAATAGCAACGGACCTCAAATTCAAGACATGTTTGTTCTGAAGTTTCTTGTCTATTTACAGCTCCCATCTTGATATCTCAAAGTTTTCCTCCTGTCAAACATGATATTCTCAGTAGTTTGTACAGGAAATGTCATCTAGATAAATTGTGTTGAGGGGGGTGCATGGCTTGTTAAAAAAAAAAAAAGAAAAAGCTCCACAGAAAGAGTAAATATTATTGTTTTGCTCCAAAATAAGAAGTCAGAGAATATTTTCATGGGATCCTAAGCGCCTATTTTGGATCTCACTGTATTTTCACAAACTCATGACGAGAAATATGCAAAAAACTCTGTAGGATTTCAAAATATGAGGAATGATGCACCATTTGGATGTTGGGTTTACAATCTGCAGTTTTCTTGTATCCATTTGTTACTATGACACTGTGGCATCTGTGACATTGCCTCTCACGGAGCTGCTTTTCTTATTGGCAGCCTCAGTGGAGAAGCCAGAACCTGAATGGGTTGCCATGACTGAAGTAACAAATTCACAGATAAACTGATCACTGATAGATTGTCCAAAAGCCGCAGCTCATCCAGTCCCTCCAAAATGGTGTTGAAAAATACTGGTTCAAAAGTATCAAGAAATTTGCTTTAATTTTCTCCATTATTTAGCCTCCATGTAGTATCAGTTTAGCAGCATTAGGAGTATTACAAATGGAAGAGATTTCTGTCGGAGTAGGAAGAGTAGACTTGCAGCTTAACACAATAATGCATTTTCTGAGACCCAAGTGCAGAATGATCCCAGATTTTTGTCCTATCCCATATCAAACAATTACAGTTGTATTCTACATGAAATTGTTTTTGTTCTTGTTAACTACAGAAGATAAATACGTCATAGGAGGACTATGAACAATTAAGAGGCTGAAACTCATATTACTTAAGACTTTCTTTAGAGGTCTTTATTTTTTGCAACATTTTACTTAATCACCTACCAGCAGCCCAGGAAACAAAGCTGCTCTGCCTTCAATCTGTAAAAGATATGATATCATCCACACCAGCCACATTAAAAACTGTGTGTCCTGGGATTTGTTATGCCCATGTGTACCTTAAATATTAGATGTGGCCTGTGGATTGAATCAGATTATCTCTGGATGTCCAGTGTTTGTAACATCTTTTCCACACCCTGTTTTATGTGGGTCACTATTACCATGTGACTGAAAGCAGAGCACCTTTCCTCTGCCAAGAAATTGCAAAATGGCAAAGATTTTTTTGCAGTGCAGGCTGGCTGATGGGAACTGTGTTGTTGGTGTTGAACCCTCAACAACAAAGGCTTTTTCCTCCTGCTTGTAGGCAAGGAGATTGCTGTAATTCAAGCCAAAAAGTATACACTTACATAAACTCCCTCATGCCGGCTGTGTAAACCAAACATTGAGATCTGGACCAATGTGAACTCTCCCCTCACCACTACAATATCATTATTGGTAAATATTAGATAAAATGCAAAAGGATCCAGGGACCTGGATCTTGCAGGAGTGAGTTTTCTTTTGTGTTTGGGAAAGACTAATTTGTAATGTCTGAAGTACAGAAAAGATGAATACAGTAGCATGATCATCTTTACTCCAGGCTTGTGTGATCTGGGAGTAGAATTTTAATTTTTTACCACCTAAGGTTTCACACTTCTCTGGTTAGTACAAAAATAGAACCTAAGGAAGGACATGGAGCGAACCTTCCAATCATATCTGCAGAAGGAGGATCAACTGCTCACTTTGGTTACTGGGGAAGAGGAGAAAGGAGAAATCACCTAAATTTGCAGCAGAGATTATTTAGGCATGCACTAAAGAAGAGCTTTCAAAATGTTAGAACTGGAACAACTACTGAAGGTTTGAAGGTTCTTTGTCAGGAGAATCTCACTCAACAAGCATTCACTAGTGGATGTTCAGGTGTGCTTGATCACACCTTTCTGCGAGGACACAAACCAGCCCACTTCTGGTCTTTTCCAGGCCTCTTCTAGGGTTCTAGAGACAGTTAAAACTACAGAAGGCTTTTCTTATTTTTTGCACAGCTGTGTTTGAGTTCTTGCTTAGACAAAGACTTGATAATATCTGTGAGAATCATGTGCTGCATCCACCCTCTGTCTCCTGGGACATGAGTCACTCGTGAAGTGCATTTCATCAAAACTATTTCACCTTCTGCCCTGTGAAGTCATTGATGGCACAAAAAGATTCTATTCCCTTGTGACCAGTGGGAAAAATATCCAGTTATAGTTTACAGTGGTCATGCCAGTAACACACACAATATTGTGTTTTCCTTTTCTGATGGGCAGAATGTTTATTTTTCTACCAGCTGCATTCACTTAGTGTGTTATTCATCTATTTGATTTCACTATGTGTCTATTTAACAGTTTGCAGTAAGGATGATCCACTCTCTAAACAGCTTTTCTCCACATAGTTATGATTTAAGTGGGTCTATATTATTTGAATCTGATAGTATCACATAGTATAGCTGAATCTTGAATTTATACCACAGATGGAACAGATTCAGAAATGATTTGAAAGTCATACAGTCCTAATTATCTTACAATATCTACCTCTGAACCTGGGAAATTGAAAGGAAGACAATGAATACACATTCCAAAATAACGTAAGCCAAAATGTCAAGTATACCATGTATCTAAAGGGACAGAAATTAGCTTATGATGTTTTTCTTGAGTCTTTTATGTCAGAGTGCACTGGGGGCTAGAGTTTTAAGGGTTATTTGGGTTTTCAAAGCCTAATAGAGAGACAGAGACTTCTGGATCCAGGGAAGATATTGACTAGTTTAAAGTGTCTTGAATTCCGTCTCTGATGTATATGTGTAAAGGTACATGGATATTTGATTAGATTAAATCTCTCCACGATTGTTTTTACAGTTCTCTACAGAATGCTTGCAGCTAAATCAAAAAGGTGCCATCAGTCATTTTCTCTGAATTTCAATGTCTGAGTGTGCATTCAAACACAACTGCTCTTGTGCACATCAAGAGTCAAATGCAGATAAAAGACTGAACAGGGAAGGGACACTCCAAGTACTACAGAATAATTTTACTAAAAGGTTTGGCTTTAAAAAAAAAATTTCTAACTTATTTTAAGATGCATGGATAAAAGAGTGGGAGAGCAGAATTTATTTTCACATCCTGAACGTTGCTGTCCATGTTGTGAAAGTAACAGAAGATTGAAACCCTAAGTAGCACAGAACTGCTCATGTCACACAAACTCAGAAAATCTGAGATCTGATGCTGAAATTCTGCCCAGGACAGACTTTGTATCAAAGATATTAGTTCAGTTCTGTGCAGGCATATAAGTAGGAGATTTCACTCACTATATTTGGGGTTGGATCTCTGTTTCAATTACAAAGACCCCTTTCAATTTATAGGTATCTTGAGGCGCATGGGTTTTAGTAATTTATTTGAGTTTAAGAGTTCTAGAGTTTTTAGCAGTTATTATCCATGAAACTGTAGAAAGGAGCATAGGAAATATTTTCCCAGAGTGGTGTAGGTTTCACTAATGTGGATTGACTGTGCTGCCCTTTTTTTGGATAGGCTTAGGGAGGCTAGGACAGGATCACACATAAAATATACATTTAGGCTGAGGCAGCAGAAGCAAGTAGCAAGTCTAGTAAGCTGATAAATGTCTGGAACTCACCATGTTCTCCATGACTCCTGTCCTGTTGGCAAGCTCACACTCCTCTGCATGCCCATTGCAAAAGCAGCTTCCCCGGATGATCAGGTCATAAATAGCATAGTGGGCAAATCTTTGGGGTTTCTCTACCAATCCTGAGCCATGGCAGGGACATTCCTGTCTTTTTAACAAAAGCAGGCGGAGGTTGGTGAGCTTCAGGAGATCCTGAGCCTCAGGACTGTAAGGGTCTTCGATCTTGTTAGCCGGACTTAAGGCACGATAAATCACCTGAAAGAGAGAAAGTTCACATCCTAGAGCTGATAACAGTGCTCTGCACACACAGCAAATATCCCAAGATGATCTTCAGGAAAAAGCAGAAAGCCCTCCCTTCTTGCAGTTCAGCCAATATGTTAAGGTACAAGAAAACTCTACTTCCTTGTGTTTCTGAGCCCACTGACAATAGTGTCATTCAGAGAAATCCAAGGTTTATCGGCACAAATGCAGTGCTAATGCCATCCCAGTTTCTGGAAGCATTTTAGGAGCGTGACTTTGTTTAGAGTTCTAGAGTCAAGTAAACAAAGGCACTAAAGGAATCTGTGAAAGAAGTGGAAACTGTGATCAGACTTTTTTCCCAGGTCACTTGAACTATGGTGGAAACCCAGCTTAGCTTGGGGCAAGTGAGCGCTGAGGGAGCCCTGTCTGTGCACAAAGCCAGGTGGTTTATTACTTAGAAGCAGCTGCAGAGCAGTGAGTTCACAGGATCCGAGGTGCTTGGTGCCTGCTGGCTGTGTGCAGGTTGTTACTCTTCTGTCACAGCATTTTTGCTGTTTGATAGTTCTCCAGAGCAGTAACAGTTAGGCTTTGAGCATCACAGTTCTAATTTGGTGTTCAACAGTGATTGTTGTATTTTAGCTCACCAGCACTCTACCCTTCTCTATCTCTTGGGGTGTGCTTGTTTCTGTTGCTTTTGGGAGAGGTAGATAATGGAGGGCTGCACCACAGTCCTTGTCATTGAAATAGAGAACTGTAAGCACTGTTTCCAGGCTTAGATGTGTTAACTCCAACTGGACAGTAGTTTTCTCCTCTGCTTGAGTTTTTCCACCATGGCAGAGGTATTTGCCCTTGGGATTCTTTGGCCCTGCTTTATAAGTGGTCACAGTCTCTGTCTGACTCACTCTGTTAGTATTAGCAGAGTGAAATCTTTGTTTCCGTAGGGATTCCCTTTTTCTCTCTCTCAGTTTTTTGTTCTTCCTAATGAACTGACCAGTTAAAATGTTTGTAGCATGTAAAATACTTTTGCTCCTTTTAGCTTGCAGAAGCCATAAAAGAGCTTGTGGTTTATGCCTAGGAGATAGTTCAGCTGCATGTTGATGGCACATGGGGAGACAAGTACCCTTAATTAACAGAATCAGCTGCCAGGCTTTGCACAGAACCCAGCAAAGGCACTGGTACCTCTCCCACCTGTCCACAGTGTTTTCTATTTGGTTAACTCTGTTCTTTTTTTTTTTTTTTTTTTTTTTCTTCCTTTTAATTCTCTTCTCTTATACTGTCAGCTACTTGCAAAGCTGCAAACAGCCTTGCTTGGTGAGATCAGAGATGCCCACAGCTCCTTGTTTGACCGAGCTGTGGGCAGATTGCCGAGGCTGTGCAATGCAGGTGCCCACATTCCCCTGACCAATGAAGCCATGACAAAATAGCCCAAGCGCTTCCACCCTGATGTCTGCATTCCCCTGGTCAATGGAACCATAAGCAAATGGCTCATTCTGTTTTGTCCAGGTGCCCAGCATTCCCCTTGCTGGTGGATTCACAGGACAAAGACCAAATCTGCATATCTGTCCAGTTCCCCTAATCCAGGATGGTCTGATCTTTTTGGTGGAAAGCATTATATGAACCCTGTCTCTTTCCCTGTCCCCTGTGGATCACACAGAGGTGGATTGGCTTCTCCTGAGTCCTGAGAAACTGCTTGTGTACAGGCACACACATCTTCTTCCCATGTGGTCAGCTAAACTAAGACCAAGGCAGGGAACTGGGTGGAATAGTTCTGAAGAGCCTGCTGAGCTCAGAGATCTTGAAGAATGGTTAAAAGTCCCTGTGAAACTGTTTAAATTGGCATAAACCAGAGGAATCAAGGACAGAGCAGTCTATTTAGTCACTAGCTTTTATAAGCTCACACTTGAAGTGTTCTCACACTTAGCATTCTTGTCTATGGTTTCTCTAATATACATGCTTAGTTAAAATGGTATCTGCTTTCAGATGTACCTCCAGAGGATACCCACCAGATAAGTGGCTTGAGAACACAAATGCTAGAGGTACTGCACTCCATAAAATAGACATCTGAGAAGTGATTGATAAAGCATTGGTTTCTGCAAGACCTGCTCCTGCCAGTGACCTTCTTACACTGTTGCATACAGGAAAAGCCTTATAAAATAAGGGCCTTGTTACCCTTGCACATTCATGGCTCAGGCCTGCTACTTAGGCTAAGCAGAAGGGAACTGTGGGAGAGTGACTCAGCTGGAGCAGGGGTAGAGAGATGTGAGAGCCGCGAGAGCCGCGCTGCGTGACTGCCGCGTGGCCACGTCGTGGTGTGTGGTGTGTGGTGCTTGGGCTTTTTGTGCCTTTAACTGTGTAAACTGATAACTGGATAACTGCTTAAAAAGGCCTGGTTTTTGCAATAAAGCCCCTCTCGTTTGCACTGCCTGGGCACTCTGTGCTGCTTTGCTTTGTACATTATACAAGGCTGGGCAAGAGGCCTCGTGTCTGTGCCAGAGATCCCAGCTGTGAACAGCTATGGGTGTCCTCACAGGAGATAGAGAGGAGGGGTGAATGAGGGGAAGAAAAAGAGTTTTTACTGGGTCTGTCTGAAAAAAAAATCAGCAGATAATGGTCAAAATATTTCTTTTTTCTCTCTGGCACTATACATCTTCTTGATTGCAATACTCTTGCACTGTACTATGGTGAGTGTGAAGAAAATCCTGTGCACTACTAGAAACCTATTTTATACATGGTATGACAAGTTAAGCAGATGGGTTCATGTTTTGGGGTCTCCAGTCAATTATCCATCCTCCCCATGTCATAATTGGCATTCTGAGAGCAGTGAGGTCTTTAGGCTAAGAGCAGCTGTCAGGGGCTCTTCTCTCACCAAAGGGCCACTTGCTTTCACCAGGCTGTTCTGTTTCTTGTTTCTTTGCTTGACAGCTTAGAAAAAGGTTTGGTTTCCTGTGGCTTTATTGTTTTGCAAATATTTTCATTTCTGGCCTTGCCTCTTGAGAGGGGTTGCTTTGGCATTTTCCATATCCCATTAGAACACTGAACATCATTTGTGAGTAGAGACATTAATAGCTTGGAAGTCCCATAGGGATTGTGGCATCCTTTTAAGAAAAAACAGTATTCCATTCCAGCTGAGGTACAAGAGTTTGTTTGTATGATTAATTCATGATACATTTCTGTCTGGGATAAGCTCACTGGTGAGGCTGGATTTGCTTGTCCTTATTTCTCCCAAGGCAAGTCTTGTTAAGTGTTAAAGATCTGATTTGAGTGACATAACACTGCTGAGGTCTTCTGGGAGCTGCTTAAATGTTCTTCTAGGATTCAACCTCCAGTAAGGAATTAACCTTCCTTTGTAAAAATCAAAGACATTTTGATCAGCAGATATATTGTGCCAATAGAAGTAGGTTTAGGTGAGGTACATTTTGCAGAGGTAGCAGTTTTATTTAACAATTAAATCAGTTTAGCTTTTATTTCACATCTGCGTAAAACTAGAAAATGGAATTTCTTTCTCTTCTGGATGTCCCATTCTCCTTGAAACATTGGTGGTTAAAATCCTTGGGCACAGGCAATTGCATAAGGCAATCATCATCTCTTGCCTCATTTTTAATATTTGATTGAATGTTCTGTCTCACGTGAAAGTGCCAGTCAGATAGTGGTTCTTTAACATATAGATTGCTGTACTGTCAAGAAAAAGATGTTAATACCTGTAATTTCTCCTTATTAGTCTACTATATATATTGATTGAAATAATTCTAGATTGGGATAAATTTTTTTAAAAGAACTGGTCTCACCTTACATGCCAGGAATTATTTTTCCAAAAATGCACAGTTTAGCTAGAAATAACTAAATAAATAACCAAACAAAACCAACTCTCTAAACTTTTTTCTGTGTTACGAATGTATGAATATTTTTTTAAATGAATGTGTTTGGGTTTATAGTTCCCTAAGGAAAAATGGATCCTAAATTAAGAGAGATTGGTGGCGGCTATATATATGGGTTAACAATTTTATATGATTTAGGGAAGAATTTTATTTATTTAAAAAAGGAGAAGGTATTGCTTTGATAAAAATACAGAGTGGGGAATGCAACCATTTGGTCATAGCCCCAGCACAATTGCTCACTATAATGCTCAGGACCTCATGCTGTTCTGGATTGATTTCAGTAGGAACTCAGTTTCATGTACTGTTTTCTTGCCATAAAAATGGGATATTGGTATTCAAGTACTTTGTGCAATGGAAGGAATATTAATAAATTCGTATCTGGAAAATTCCCTGAGAATTCCTGGAGATGGATATCCATACATGCAATTTTAATAATTGCAGGCAAGAGATAAGAGTTTGGCCATCTCAATCATTGATGCATGAATGTATTAAAGATTAGATTCTAAATGGATCTAAGTACTAGCTGTTGGAGGAGACATTCCACCTTTTCAATGTGTTATTTGTTCCTTTTATTTCAGTTCACAAGTTTGGTAGTTCTAAAGCCTATGAAGCAAGTTCCTTCTATGCAGATAGATATTTGACCTCTGCCTTTTGCAGAAAGGCAGAAATATTATTATTTTTTCATTTCCCAGAGATACTGTGTGAATTTTTCCATTATATTCATTAAAAAGATGTGAAGATATAATGAAAAAGTGTTTTCTTTTAATTAAGATGCAAGTTTTGAAAAGAGCTTCCCATGATTTTCACTGTAAAGCTATTTTTCATCTAATGGAATCTCTATCTGGTAGAAAGCTCTGTTCTTTTTTTTTTTTTTTTTCTGTAATGGACTGTTCTGAAACCTCCCAGTTGTTTCCCTAAATATCAGTGTGCAGCTGTCATGAAAGTAGCATAGGCACAGCTGCAGAAGAAAATTTGATGGTGATTGAGTCTGCTTAGGGACACCCTAGAAATCTTTCCATTTTTAATGGACTGTTCTGAAATCTCCCAGTTGTTTCCCTAAATATCAGCATGCAGCTGTCATGAAAGTAGCATAGGCACAGCTGCAGAAGAAAATTTGATGGTGATTGAGTCTGCTTAGGG